CTACAAAGCCATAATCATCAAAACTGCATGGTATTGGAACAAGAACAGACATACAGACCAATGGAATCGAATAGAAAATCCAGAAATAAACCCACAGATTTATGGTCAACTAATCTTTGACAAAGGAGCAAAGACTATGCATTGGAGCAAAGAAAGTTTGTTCAATAAATGGTGCTGGGAAAACTGGGTCGCTACATGCAAAAGAATGAAGCTTGACCACTACCTCACACCATACACAAAAATCAACTCAAAATGGATTAAAGAACTAGACATAAGACCTGAAACCATAAAATACATAGAAGGAAATATAGGCGAAACACTACGGGATTTGCACATCAAAGACATCTTTACAGACACATCACCCAAAGCAGTGATAGTGAAGAGAAAGATAAACAGCTGGGACTACATCAAATTAAAGAGCTTCTGCACAGCAAAAGAGACAATAACAAAAACAAAGAGAAACCCCACCAACTGGGAGAACATTTTTGCACCCAACACTAATGATAAAGGACTGATCACAAAAATCTGCAAAGAGCTGATGAGACTCAGCAACAACAAAGAAAATAATCCAGTCAAAAAATGGGCAGAAGAGCTAAAAAGAAACTTCTCTGAAGAGGAAATGCAAATGGCCAACAGACATATGAAAAAATGTTCAACATCACTTGTAATCAGGGAAATGCAAATCAAAACTACCATGAGATACCATCTCACACCAGTGAGAATGGCACATATTAAAAAAACTAGCAACAACAAATGTTGGCGAGGATGTTGGAGAAAAAGAACTCTCCTGTCACTGTTGGTGGGAGTGCAAACTGGTCCAACCACTATGGAGAGCTGTGTGGAGATTTCTGGACCTACTAAACATAGAGCTTCCATATGATCCAGCAATTCCACTCCTAGGTATTTACCCAAAGGACACAGAAACATCAATTCCAAAGAGCACCTGCACTCCTATGTTTATAGCAGCACTGTTTACAATAGCTAAGCTTTGGAAACAACCCAAATGCCCAAAAATAGATGACTGGATCAAGAAGATGTGGTACATATATACCATGGAATATTACTCAGCATTCAAAAAGATAAACACATGCATTTGCAGCAACATGGATGGCACTGGAAGGATCATGCTCAGCGAAATAAGCCAAAAAGAAAAAGAAAAATACCGGATGGTCTCACTCATAGCAGGAATCTAGAAAACTTAAATAAGGGACCAGGAAAATGAATATAAGAAAGTGAAAATCAAAATCAACAAAAAACTATGAACCAGAGACACTTGGGGGGTGGGGGGCGGGAGGGGAAGGATTTGGGGTCAGAATGGGGGCGTTTTGCAATTGTATGGGGGAACATAAAAATAAAATTTAATATTTAAAAAAAAAAAAAAAAAAAAAAAGAAGGGGGTGTGGCTACAATGACTGAAAGGTTTTGAGTGAGTGGCCAAGTCCCTGTGCCAATCAGAACGCTGTCCTTGAAGTTACTGCCGGCTCCCCTGCCTGTTGTTTGATTCTCCCAACACACTTAATAAGGCACAGATGTTGGCAGTCCTTATTGATGCCCAAAGGAATGGTTCTTTGTTGGACAGTGTTTTCCTGTCCTGTGGGTCTAGGAAATAAGACCATTCTTTTGTTCTGAGAGGCAAGATTCTCTTAACCAATGAGTGAAAATTAAGGGAGATGAACAGTGACCACCACCAGTAGAATCTTTGCCTTCCTTCTAATGAAGCCTGGACAGGCTCCTCTATTCCTATCACATGCCTGCAGCATGAAAAACAAACAGCAGGTTTTGTATCTGTTCTTTGCTATTCCATTACTTTGAGAATGAACTCTGAGGACATTAAAATCATTTATGTTCTCTAAGTAAATAAAAAGCATGAATTTCATATTCAGCAAATGTGTATCTAAATCTAGAAGCAATGAGAATCACGTAGTTAATAAAAAATGATCAAATAAAGAAATCCTACTTTTTTTAATACAAGAACCGGGGTACAGGCCAGATGCGCAGGAGGGTAAGAGGATTCATCAGAGACAGAGAGGGGAACAGAACAGGCAGACTAATGAAATGTACTGCCGAGGGGAGCAGCAGGCGTGACAGGAGAGGTCTCCATGCCATGTTGGATTCTTGCCAGCTAGGTGGTAACTACATTAAATAAATAACAGAACAGAAAAAAATCAGATGCATCTGCTTTTGAAATTTTCTTTCAGTTTTTCAGGAGTGTGTGTATTTGTTTGTATGTGTTGGGTCCTATATGTGTTGAAATTGTTCAAACAAATTGAAAATTCCAAGGGATGTATTATTTTACCACATTTTTATTATGAATTTTAACTCTATGGTAATTTCAAAAACAATTCAGTGGAACCTCTTTTTAAAGGGAAAATTTATTTAAATAAATTACTACTTTTAATTGTTAATTTTATTCCTCAAGAATAAGTATCAAAATTTATTATAGTCGTGAGAACAAGTATAATCTTGGTGAACAATCATAAAATGCGAAATAAGTGGCAAACTAAAAGAGGCAAGTTTTTTCAGAGGCTATAATTATCTACTTCAAGATTTATGGATAAGTAAATGATCATTTTTATCTTTGCATCTTTCTTTCATAGTCATTCATCACAAATGAAATTCATTTACTTAGCAAAAGGCATATACTGATCTGTAGGGCTTCACTGGCTGGGACAAAAGAGACATAAACAAAAGGACAAGCTGCAGAATTAACAGGAAGTCAGGCTTTGTCTTGAGCTTTTCCAGACCCACCAAGGCTGTGCGTGAGCAGCAGGCACTGGGATGCGGCATAGATTAATATGGCGTAAAGAAATATCACGAGGAGGTTGGAGTGACTTCCAAATACCTTTGATTCATCTATTGTTTTCAGCACACCTCATTTAAAGATGAGCCTCTCAAAATATGGGCTAGTTACAATAGGAGAGAGTTCATTTACTGGGTGGACCTGGCAGTTTAAAAAGGTGAAACAGAAGAGAAAATATCAGTGTACATTCCAGATGCAATATGAAAGTGTTCTTTCTGTGTGGCATGCACATGCTTGTACACACATGTGCCTGTGTTCTAGCGTGTGAATGCACACATGTGAACGTGTATGCTGAGTTTTCATGTACAATGCCTTTCTTACTATGAACCACAGTCCAAAAAGTCTGAAACTACTACTCCACTGGTGAAGGGCAAGGAAATAGGAGGCGGACATCTAGCTCCGGCGCTGGGCCCTACGCTTCTGATATGGCCTCAGAGAAAAGTTAAGAGAAGGCTGTGGGGAAAGGTTTAGTTCTGGTCTTACCCACAGAGCTGGGGAATGCCTGAAATAAGAGCTATTAAATTTCTAGACAGCATATCACTTACATCCTTTCATTACATACATGAAGTTACATCACCTTTTGTAATAGTCACTGTTGCCACCCCCTCATTTTACAGTTGGGGGGAAACAGGCAGAGTCTTAAACCTGTGCCCAGTGCTGCCTGTATCCTGCTGCAGTGGATTTTCCTGGTCGTGCTGTCCTCAGGGCATCTAACCTTCCTGGGGGACTTAAGTGGCTCTGGGAGGTTTGACTGCAATGTTACTTTCTTTAAGAAAGAAATTTACATCCCTGGCAGTGCCCCTGACTGTCCAAGTCATGCTGAAGAATTGTCAGCTTTGTGCCTGGAGCTGTTTTCAACATTTTATACCATCCTTTCCTGTGACATAGTATTTATCCTTCTTGTGAGTAATGTAAATACTTCATCTATTTTAGTCTGTTTAAAAAAGAGCTTCGTTAAGAAAACTTAACACTTACTTAAATAAGGGACCAGGAAAACGAATAACTATAAGAAAGTGAAAAGCAAAATCAACAAAAAACTACGAACCAGAGACACTTTTAGGGGGGCGGGGGTGGGAGGGGAGGGATTGGGGTCAGAATGGGGGGGCTGCAATTGTATGGGGAATATAAAAATAAAATTTATTATTAAAAAATAAATAAATAAATAAATAAAAAAAAAGAAAACTTAACACTTGATCTCACTGATAAGTATAATATTCGGTTTGAAATGATTCTTTAGACTGTGTTTACCGAGGAGTAAAATAACTTGTGAGGGAACTGAATCAGTAAGGAAATGAACACCTGGACACTAGCGTTATTTTCTTAAGTAAAGGTCAGCCCTACCCGTCATCATCATGATTGGCTTATTTTTCCTGGCAGGCAGTTCCACGCCACAACCAGGACTACAGCTATTTGCAATTTATAAAGTGTTTCTGCAGACACCAGCTCATATAATTCTCACAACAATGCAGCACTTTGAGCATTATCCCCATTTTGAAGTGAAGCCAATAGGTTCAGAAGTTCAAGATTTTTTAAGTGAGTCAGAACTGAAGTCTTCTGCCCTGGTGTTGTGTTTCTTTCTTTTCTATCCATAATTGTTTCTCTTTTTTTGATTGCAAAATTAATACACACTCATTATTTGAAAACAGAAGTGCTAAGAAGAAAAAAAGCTACCTGTATTCTCTTCTTAGATAACCCTTTTAACATTTTTGGTTATTTTCTACTGTTTGGGATATTTTTCTTTACTTTTCCTTTGATGAAAAGAGAATGTCCTCAGAGAGCTCATGGAGAGATGGCCGAAGCAGCAACCTCCTTAGTGGAGGAGTGTTCCCCATCAAAGCTCCTCACTGCTGATAAAAGCCAGCCACCATCCTGGCCCTCCTAGTCTTCCTTTTCTTGAAAATACTTCAAAGCTTCTTGTGGCTGTGGTGGGGGCCCAGGGGGAAAGGCTTGTGGAGCCAGACCCAAAAGTTCTTGGACATTATAGATTCAGATGGAGGTAAAAAGTGGTTTTCTAACTAAAAGTACCTAACACAGAGAAGGCAGTGGGAGAGAGGATGAGAAATACTGGGGGGCAGTGTCTCCCAAGGCACTCCCTCCGGTCTAGTGTGTAGTATAGTCAGGGCTTGAGCCCAGAGTTCCAGTATCTGTTTCCTTTTTTTTTTTTTTTTTTTTTTTTTAAGATTTATTTATTTTATGCACACAAGAGCTGGGGTACAGGCCAGAAATGCGGGGAGTGAGAGGATTCACCAGAGACAGAGTGGGGAACAGAACAGGCAGATCAACTGAAATACACTGCTGAGGGGAGCAGTGGGCCAGATAGGAGAGGTCTGCTGCATCTGTGGTTAGCTTGCTGGCTGGGAATCAAACTCGTACTTCATTGGCTATGGATAGCTCCACAGGTTGTTTCTTAACCCTTGTGCCACCAGGGAGGCCCACCTTTTTTTAAAAAAAAAATTATTTATTTATGTATATAAGAACTGGGGCCACAGGTGCGGGGTGGGGGGTGGGGTTGAGAGGATTCACCAGAGTGGGAGCAGAACAGGCAGATTGACTGAAATACACTGCTGAGGGGAGCATTGGGCGAGACAGGAGAGGTCTGCTGCGCCATGTGGGTAGCTCCCTGGTCAGGGATCAAACTCATGCTGCAGTGGCTGTGGGTAGCTCCATAGTGCCTCGTCTTAACCCCTTGCACCACCAGGAAGGCCCCAGTTACTGTTTCCTTTGAACCTACATATCAGATCCTGTCACCTTGACGTGTGAGGGTCTTATCTATATTATTTTGGTTATGCTTAAAATTTTTATATAAGATGTTGCTTTTTGGTGTAAACTGACTGTTGGGGGCTCAGCAATCTTTTTGTTTTATATATATTTGCATATATATTATATATATTTGCATATATATTATATATTTGCATATATATTTGTTTTATATATTTGCATATATATTATACATGTTATATAAAGATATTGTAATATGCCTAAATTAATGTAATTTAGGTCATTGTGAAGCAATCAATTATTCTGGTAATGCTCTAGAATCTTTCCTTGAGAAAGATTCACACATGTTAACATTCAATATGTATTACATGACTATTACACATTATGTAATATAATTCATACTATAGGTTAAAAAAGCAGCAAAAATAATAAGCTACAAAGACAAAAGTTATCTAGACATCCTGGCCCACATCATTTTTGGGGAAATAATTACCTGTATAAAGAAATGTGTTGGAGTGGCCTCCCACCACGACGTCCACTCCCTTCACTTTCTGAGCGATGAGTTTATCCATCTCAAAGCCAGAGTGTCCCAGTGCAATTATTTTGTTCACACCTAGAGTTGTTAGTTTATCAACTTCAGGTTGTAAGGCAGCAATTTCTTCTTCAAATACTAAATCTCTTCCTGTGGAGCAAAATAAATAAAATGGACATTATTTGGCAGTAATTTTTATTATATTACTTATTATACACACTGATATGCCAGTAAAAGACACCTTCATATATTGAGGCTCTTCACTTACTTAGACTAACACATATTTATAAATCACATATGAAATCCCTAGAAAGCCAAAAAAATTTCCATCAATAGCCTCAGTTACAATCACTCAGTGTTACATTAGTTTAGGATTGTGAATGATAGTATGTTGCTCAAATTCCATGTAAAATTATGAGGAGGTTTCAGACCTGGAAATCTATTTTTTAATGTGTTTTATATTTAGATTTCTGTTATGCCAATGCAGAAAATGAGCACACAAGTGTGATAACTATATGTATGCCAAGTCATAATGCTATATGTACACCTTTAACCTACACAGCATTGTATGTCAAATATATTGGTACGTATTATACATGTATACCCTAACTCTTCAGCCATGAATTCAGCAGCCCCTGAAATCAAGTCCTCACCCAACTTTCCAGCTTTCCCTACTCCGAAACTTTGTTCTAGGAAACTACACCTTCAGCTACCTTGTGACTGTGGTCCCTGCGCACTCCTGCTCTCACCATTCATCCCAGCAACATTCACTGAGAACTTCCCAACTGCTGCTCCCCTGCCCCCGCCACCTGTGTCTGTTCTACTGAAGGCCCTTGGCCCTGGGGTTCTTGACAGGACCCTCCAGGGGTCAAGGAGGTCTTTGCTCAAGTCTGTCTGCCCCCACCCCAAGGCAACCATCACTTTACCCAAGCCCCCTTCCTCTCTCCCTCCGACTTCACAACTCTCTTGTGGTATTTAATTACATTCTATCTTAAGTGAACTACAAAAAAACAGTGGACAGAATATAAATTATGGAGACATAGTTTGCTTTCGAGTTTGCTGCCTAATAAATATTTATTTAGTTTTTCAACAAGTCTACATCTTTATCTGAAATTCCCAGCTGACCTCTATGTTACATTCCAGATGTTCATTGAGAGGAGACACAGGTTCTGTACTCTGGTTGCTCAGGCCGCTGCTGACAGGTAGAGACTAAGGTGTTTTCTGGTGTTATCGGTACTCAGACTAGGAGCATCTGACCAGGTGGCCACTGTAGCAAGAGGCCACTCATCCCAACCCTACTCACTGGGAGCATTTGGTTTGTTAGAAGTGAGGCAGCTTGCTTTGGTGGTGGTGTGGTGTAGTAACATATATCTGAGGAGGTGTGACTCTGACTCACATACAGTGCTGTAATCAATGTGGTCTCAGTAAGAAAGAAAACAAAGAAAAAAAGGCATCAGGCAGTCTGGCTCCCTCTGTAATCTCAGCCCTATCCTCTTTGCAGAAGCCCACTCTCCCCCCCACCCCTCACCCCCGAGTCCTCAGGTCGAAGCCTGCCAAAGTCACTCTGGTGGGATCACATCCTTTTTTTTTTTTTTTAAAGATCCATTTATTTATTTATACAAGCACTGGGTACAGTCAGAAGCGCAGGAAGGTGAGAGAATTCACCAGAGCCAGAGCGGGGAACAGAGCAGGCAGAAGGACCGAAGTACACTGCTGAGGGGAGCAGCGGGAGGCAGGAGAGGTCTGCACGCCATGTGGGACCCTCCTTTGGTGGCCGGGTTGCAGCCGGGGATTGAACCGGCGCCGCAGAGGCTTCGGGCAGCTTCGCAACCCAGCGCTCAACCGCTGCGCCACTGGGGAGGCCCGGGATCACATCCTTTTAGTCAGAGGAACACCTTTAAGACACTTAAAAAATAGGTGACACTTGACATCCACAATGGCGCTCTGGCTCCCCCATGACCTCAACAGTAACAGCTATTGACCATATGTCCACAGTGTGCAAAGGCCTGGTCACCGTGGGGCAGATGTCCACCCCCTGGGAGGGCCAGATAATCTCAGTCCCAACAGTAGGGAGCAGGAGAGCCTTGTCTGTTCTGTGGCTGAGTGGCCGCAAGGCCCTCTCCCCTCAGAGCCCAGCAGCTGCTTGGGTTGAGGGCACCTGACCTTCTGATGTTGCTTTGAATGGCCTGCATCTGTTAAAAACAATAAATAATATATTATGTATTTGTATGCTAAATTAAAAATATCTTCAATGTATTATATTATATTAAATGTTATATTTTATTATGTTATATTATATTTTATTATATTAAATGTTATAGTCTATTATATTATATATTATATTTATTATATAATATATGATATCATATTATTATATTATATTAAGTGTTATTATATTATATTAAATGTATATTAATTTATATATCATATATTATTTTTCTAATTGTTAAATAGCAGCATGTCCTATGTTAATTCTGTTTTTAAATTGAAGCATCATTTTTTCATTCTTTTTTTTTAAGATTTATTTTATTTATTTATGTATACAAGAGTTGGGGTGCAAGCCAGAGGTGCAGTGAGTGGGGGAGGGAGGGGAGTGAGAGGATTCACCAGAGACAGAGTGGGGAGCAGAACAGGCAGACTGACTGAAATACACTGCTAAGGGGAGCAGTGGGCAAGTCAAGAGAGGTCTGCTGTGCCATGTGGTTATCTGGCCAGGGCCTGCCCATAGCTTCATGGTGCTGAGACTTAACCCCTTGTGCCACCAGGGAGCCTCCTTTTTTTCATTCTTGTCAGTGTTTTGACAGTATAGGATGTCCCCCTCAGGTGTGATTGCCGACGCACTCCCACCAGGGAAGCAGCCACAGTCTTGCACCAAGTCCCTTGTGCTCTGCCCTCCCCCTCAAACCTCTGGATGCCTCAGATCTATGGTCAGCTTTCAAGGGTTGGTTTTAAAGTTTGTCTTTGACCCTTTGTTTGGTTTCTCTGTATTCCACATATAAACAACACCATCCTGTATTTATCTTTCTCTTTCTGGCTAATGCTTGCTCCTGGTTTCCCAATTTCCTTTTTTTTTTTTTTTTTAAGGGAGATAAATTTTTTTTTTTTTTTTAAGATTTATTTTTATTTATTTATACAAGCACTGGGTACAGTCAGAAGCACGGGAGGGTGAGAGAATTCACCAGAGCCAGAGCAGGGAGCAGAGCAGGCAGAAGGACTGAAGTATACTGCTGAGGGGAGCAGCGGGCAGCAGGAGAGGTCTGCATGCCATGCGGGACCCTCCTCCGGTGGCCAGGGAGCAGCCGGGGATCGAACCGGTGCTGCAGAGGCTGCGGGCAGCTTTGCAACGCAGCGCTCAACCGCTGCACCACCGGGGAGGTCCTCCCAATTTCCTTTAAATAAGGAAAGAAAATTTGTTTCGATAATTTAAAGAAAATGCCATTTTGTTTTCACTGCCAAGGTGTTTCAGTGAAAGTGGTTCAAATGTTTCTTGAATGGTCTTAACATTGTAGAATAATGTATGTACACATATGTATACACAAATACATGTATATTGTAGCAGCTTTATATTAGAATATAGATATACACATGTATCTACACACAGACACAACAAAGTCATTAAAACTACAAGAGATAAATAATGAAAAGGAAGAAGGTAGAGTTAACTAGACATGTCATAATCATACTAGAAAAGGAAAAGATAGGGTGTACTGAGGAAAAGATAGGGTGTACTGAGCTCTGGGTCCCTGGTTCTGAAGAAGGAAGGGCAGTGAATTACATGAGTCTCATTCTGGAGTAAGTGACTCTGTATTGTTTCGCACTGGTTACAAATAGCCTTTCACCCAATTTTGAACTCACTGATTTTAAACAATGATATTGTTTATGTCAACAAAGAAGTTCATTGAGCAGAAGAGTGAATGTCTTCAAGGCGAAACTGAGAACAACATGGAAGTCACTAGATGGATTTCATCAATGTCATCCTAAGAACAATACCATATGTGATTCCTGTTATTATCTATAATGTCCATTAAAATAACACCAAATCCTGAGTTAGTGCATCTATTTTCAAGCAACGCATGTCAAAAGAGTAGAAAATACCTGGATTTGAGAGATAGGGCGTTTCTTGTGAGGTATATCCAACAATTCCCACCTTTTCACCACCAATGGAAATAGCTTTATATGGAGCATAAAGTCCTGATATTTGAGATGCTAGCGGCCCCTTTGCTTTAATGTTTGCACTCAGAATTGGAAATGTGGCGTTTTTGAGGAGTGGATCAATCAGTCCTTCTACACCATTATCAAATTCATGATTTCCCAGTGCCTAGTAGAAAGAGGAAAGAGAAAAAGAATTAGGAACTCTGGAATTTCCAATAGAAGCATACCTTGAAGAGCATTACACTAGGCCAGAGGCACACAGACCTGGCTGGGCTCTGGGAGGGTAACTCCATGGCTTCTGTCCTCATGCCCATAAATCTTACTCAATGGCCCTGAGGCTTGGCTCTGGGACACTGAGCTCTCTGGCTGCTCTCCAGCCCCCACACCAGGGGAAGGAAGGTGGCCTCAAGGCTCATCAGGTCCCCTGGAGAGCTGGCTACAGGCCACTGACTTGCCAACCCCCCACTGGAAGCAGGCTAGAGGGTCTGCATGGTCTTTTCACATAAATCCCCATTTCAATGCAAGAACCCAATCATCCCAACCTCCATCTTGGGAGAACTGTCTTTCTTCTCACAGCCACTTGGTTATAATCTACTATGTCCCCATAATTGTTTCCTCACAAGAGCTCCATAGTCCTCAGTGGAGAAAGAAGATTCACAAAGGCAAGCAGGAGATGGCACTGTCTTACAGTGTGTCATCTGTTTCTTCTTTTGGGACCACCCTGTGTTTCATTCCCGGCTGTGTCACAGGTGACGAAATGATCACATGACTCTGGGGGTTCTGGATACCTCCTGAGCAAAGGGCTTGGTGAGACCTGGCATGGGTTCTGCCTCCATCTCCTTTTCTGTCTCCCATCCCTCACTGCTCTGGGAGTGACCACTGGGTGGGTACAAAATAATCAGCTCTGACTTCAGCAGCTCCTTCTGACAAAACATGACACATCATTCACTTCCCTGAAGAACCTTCCATCCTCTCTCCATGACCCTCTGAATAGTCCCGTCTCCTTAAAGCTCTATCTCCCTGCTGCTATCTCCCCCTGCTAGACCTAGCTCCCTACTGCTCAGGCTGCCGAGGCTGATTCCCTGAGTACTTAAATGTGTGTTTCCAACTTGCTCAACAGCTTTACTTCGCAGGTCAATTTGGAGCAGGCTTGAACGTGCTGACTGGTGGCCCTTCCATAAATTAATGTTACCCCGCCCCCCATATTGTCTTATGGACCCACCCGCTGCTTCCTTATTAGCACTTCCTTCACCCTAAGGGCATGTCTACTTGTTGGGGTGGTGTGGGGGGTGGGGGTATGTGGGGTGGGGGGTGGGGGGGGGCAGGCCCTGGCCAGGCCAGACCCAGTTCTCTCGGGCTGCCCCCTGCCCTCCCCTCCCAGGTAGGCATGCCCTGATCATCTGGGCTCAAAGGAGAAGGTGCATGATGTTTCCCCTGTGCATATGCTTGTCCAGAGAGAGCAACACGATACTACTTCTGCATTCGCCCTTCCCCCATCCATCTCTGAGGATCTAACCATTTTTAAATCTATTTGCTATTTACTTCTAATTGCTTCCATCTTAAAGGCTGATCTAGACTTAAATATTCTCTCTGTTTTGGGTGACTGTCACCTTTTTTCTCTTCTATTCTTGGAACTTCATGTTTTCTTTTTATGGGGAAATAAGTCTCCCTTATCAGATGATATTAACTATCTTACTTAATGGGCTTATAATTCCTGAAAGCTTATCCAACTGTCAGTCACAGGGCATTTTATTGACGGCATTTTACTGTGGGTATTCAGCAAACATGGACTGCTATATTTTTCATATGTTTGTTCTGTGGTTCATGCCTCCTCCCCCAACTTGAGTGCAACCCCTGAAAGTGTTGATTTTGGCCATCTTTTCACCTCTCTGTCCCCTTGGGGGCACAGGTCCTGATCTGGGTGCTTAGGCTGCTGTGTGGTCTCACTGAATGGTCTCATTCATATTTGCACCTTCAACTCCAAACATAACATTTGCTGCCCTGACTTTTCTCCTGACCTCTAGATCTAATGTCTAACTGCTACATGAACATTTCCTCCCAACATCTCAAAAGCACCCCAAACCTATTTTGTGCTCAAAATAGCCCCCCAACACTCCCTCTCTTACCCAAGATACCATCATCTACCCAGGCAATAAAAGCAGTAACCCTGGAGCTGCTGGATCTCTCCCCATCACTCACTCCCTTACCTCCTACGGGCATTCCTCCCCTTGCCTAAATGCCCCATTTAGTCCATTCATTGCTGTTATCTGAGTGCAATCCTTGCTCCTGGACTATAAATTAGGAAGCAGAATCCTCCTTACTGGGCTTTTAGCTATCCACATTCTTTTCTCTGACCCATCCTAGATATACCCTATCTATGTGTGCCACCTCTATATATTGCTTCCAGAATAAGCTTTCTCATATGCACGTGAGATCTTGTCATCCCCGCTGTAAGTTCCTCCAGTGGCTGCACTGCCTTTGTGGTTAAATTCAACATCCTGAGTCCTCGGTACCTAGGTTTTGAGATCTGGCCTTATATCTCACCTCACTCCCCCAGCCAATGTCTGACATCTACTCTCTAACATGTGAGGCTACGAGGCGGGGCTGCCTCTGCTGCTTATGAGCTGTGAACAGGATGGTTTCTAACCACAGCTATTCTGGAGGGGTAGTGAATACACATAAGTTGTAATGAGAATAAACCAGCATTTAATAAACACTTGCTACACACAGCTATCACGCAAACTGTTTTGTATAACAATGTAATTTTGTGCTGTGAAGTGCGTGTTATAACTATTATCAATTTACAAAGAAAAAAATGAGATCTAGAGAAGTTAAACACATTGTTCAAGGTCACATAAATAATTAATAAGTAGTAGAAGTGGGGCTAGAACTACTGCTGTTTGACTCCAACCTTCATAATCTCTATGCTTGGGTCTAAGGGTTGAGGCTGGACATAGTGAGCATTTCAAATCAAACCCTAAAATGCTTGCAGTTTTCCTGCTCTCACTATCTCTGACCCTCTGTAGATGAGAGATAAGGATCAACTAATTGATACACAGCTAGGTAGACAGAATAGAAAAGTCCTTTTTCATGTCATGCCTGTACTAACTTATTCAACTAATGGTTTAATTACTGAAGTCTGATGGCCCTTTTCAAAGAGAAACATCCCAAGAAGTCTTCCTATCCCCTGTCTGAGCTATCTGCCCTTCCTCTGCTCTAATGGTCACGTCTGTGCAGCCCCAGCAGACGTGCACCTGCGCACTCAACCCCTCTCACCTCTGGCTCACTCCCTGGAACAGGGCAGGGATCCCCCATTGTGTGAGTACATGATGAAGCAAAGAAAGCTCTAACCAGTTTCCTGTGTGTATATACAGCATTACCTACAAACAATGCAGAAAAATTCCTTGTAAATACTCATTTTCTGCACAGACCTCTCCTGTGTCACCCCCTGCTCCTTTGCAGATATTTCAATAAATCCACCTTTTCTGTTCTTAAACATAAACACTCATTTTCTTTAGAAATGTGAATATCCATTTCCATTCCTTGACTTTCTCCACCTGTCTTTCTTCAACAGCACTTACTAGAACTTCATTATTCACAGCTTTCAGAAGAAGGACACACAGCTCACCAGCCACACCAGGCTCCTGTCATGTGGCTGGCAAATGGGGGCACACGAGAAATGTGTTATATAAATTGATTGTATTTCCATGTCAATTTTGTATTAATAACATGAAAATACCTCAGAACGATCTGCCCAAGAGAAGGACTTGGAGCAATAAGAGAACAGAACAGAGCAGGTCACCTTTCCGTGTTCCTTTACCTCTTACAGGGAGTTTATGGAAAAAACAGAAGAGATTTAAAAAATTTATAATGCAGTATCATTCCACTTTGCTTTTGGGTCCTCTGTGAAAATTTCTGTTCATGTTTCTTACATGTGCTTATAAGTCCTTGGTTGCTCTGGCACCCAGTTTCCCTTGTGTCTTTAACTGCCCATCCTGATCTGAGCTAAACTGTCACTGACCACTCATAGCTATGACCCCCACATCAGAAAGTGACTTTGTGACCCTGTCATATTCTTTTTTTTTTTTTTTAAAGATTTATTTATTTATTTATACAAGCACTGGGTACAGTCAGAAGCACGGGAGGGTGAGAGAATTCACCAGAGCCAGAGCGGGGAGCACAGCAGGCAGAAGGACGGAAGCACACTGCTGAGGGGAGCAGCGGGTACAGCAGGAGAGGTCTGCGCACCATGTGGGAACCTCCTCTGGGGCCAGGGAGCAGCCGGAGATGGAACCAATGCTGCAGAGACTGCGTGCAGCTTCGCAACCCAGTGCTCAACCGCTGCACCACCGGGGAGGCCCCCTGTCATATTCTTATGCTCGCTCTCCTTTTCCTCCTTCGCCTTCCCCCTTTCTTTGCCTTCCAAATATTTCATTTGTAATATTGGGCTCATTCATTTTTTTTTGGCTCATTCATTTGCTAATCACATTCATGCACTACTTCTATCCCTATGACAATGTTGTATAATTTTATTACAAACACTAAATTTACCAAATGCACTTTTTCTGTAATTTAAGAGTTGAGTCTAGCAAAATGACCATCAGCATCTCCAACACCAGTATCATACAAGTATAATGTGAGCATATGGTCAAGCATATGGTCTAGTATAATGTGAGCATATGGTCTAGCCTCAGCTGCTCTCCCTCACTGCTTTCTTTGTGCCGGAGATGTCTTAAATATTACTAAAAAACCCCATAAAATTTGGGTGCCATACTATCTATTTAGCCCATTGCATTATGTCTAACTACCCAAACACCTGGAATGTTACCTGACTTTTAAAGCTAAAAACACAGGGCCTCCCTGGTGGTGCAAGGAGTTAAGTGTTAGCACCATGAAGTTATCAGGAGCCACTGCAGCATGAATTCGATTCCCGGCCAGGGAGGAGACTCAGATGGTGCAGCAGACCTCTCCTGGCTCTCCTGCTGCTCCCCTCAGCAGTGTATTTCAGTACATCTGCCTGTTCTGTTCCCCACACTGTCTCTGGTGAATCCTCTCACTCTTTGCACCCCTGGCCCACACCCCAGCTCTCAAATGCATAAATAAATAAAACAAATCTTTAAAATATATATATAGCTAAAAATATGAAAAAGGACAATGGAGATTCCTTTCTTCTGTGACTCAAAACCCTGCTGTTGTTGTTAAACTCTGAGGAGTGTGGTACGATGCTTTCTAATATCTTCTGCAGGTATTGTGCAGTTAGGAGTGAGAGAAAGCTAATGTTTCTAAAGTTTGGCTTGTAATCCTGACAAATTCCATGTACAGACCAAAGTCTACCTTCCCTTCAGGGATAAGCCTTTCCTCACTTAAGGCAAACCTTCAGGTAATCATGAGGTAATCACATCTCTGATCATTTATTTCCAGTGCTTAAGCTAAATATTTAAACTAATAATCAATTACTATCTCTTGGATACCAAAGTAAATGGAAGGTACCTAGTATTCACCCAAGTTGGATGCAAACAAATGCATGATGTCACAATGCCAGGTCTCCCTACCCCTTTCTCTGTCAGGGGCAGATGCCAATTAGTTGACTGTATTCCTCTTTCCCAGTGAGTTTGGACAGAGCCTCAGAATCTTTCTTATCCTGGCCCTATAAGGAGTTATTGTAAATCAATTAGAGATGGCACTTAGATGAATTGGTTTCATGCTTGCGCTAGGATTATACGTGTATGATCTATTAACTTTTTTTTTTAAGATTTATTTATTTATATAAGAACTGAGGTACAGGTCAGAGGTGCACAGGAGGGTGAGAGAATTCACCAGAGACAGAGCAGGGAGCAGAACAGGCTGAGGGGAGCAGCAGGCAAGACAGCAATCGTCTGCTGCGCCATGTGGGTTTCTCCCTGGCCGGCCGGGATTTGAACCCGCACTGCAGAGGCTGTGGATAGCTTCACAGCGCGGCGCTCAACCGGCTGCGCCACCAGGGAGGCCCTGATCTATTAACTTTTAACAACAATGATTAACAAATGTAACGGGAGTCACTAAAAAGGCAATCTTTTCACATAAAAAGGAAAGAATCCTTCCTGACTTTTCTCTTTTAACAGTATTTGTTCTGCGAACAGAATGCCTGGAATAGTCACAGTGGCACTCTGCTGCCTGCACACTGTCCACTAAGGCCACATACCAACTTCCATGTTTTTCTTTTTCAAAGTTCTTCCCAGTAGGAGCTGCTATTTAACCATTTGTTCTCTTTACCCCAAACATATGCTCCCATTGGTATGAACTAAGTAGATAAATGGAAGAAATAATGAGCACACGTCCCAGGGTGAGAGTAAGAGAAAGAAAGCACTTGGAGGAAGAGTGCCCCACAGCCCCAGGAAGGAGGACCAAGGTCTGAGTCTTAATGCTTGTATTTATTCACGGTCTGCAGGAGGTGACAAGGAGTCAGTGTTCTCAGATGGCCTCTTGTTATTCTGGAATATTTTGTTTTTAAGGAAAAATCTCCCACTTTACAATCTCTCCTGTTACAGTGGTTTGATCACGTAATCTCTCTGTTATTAAATAATACGCATTAATTGGCCCCCATTACCCATTTAAAATGTATGAAGCATAGGGGAAATACTTGTTAAATATTTACTGAATGAATGAGTAAGCCAATAAATAATTGGTGGGGGAAGGAAAGAAGCCACAGAAACTTAATTTACAAGACTGGGATTACTGTTATTCAGCCCCCGGGCCAGTTGCCATCAGTGGCCTCTTCTCTGACTGCACAAGTGTCATCATGTCCATGTGCACTGTCTGGGAAAAAAGATAACAAGACACAGTATCTCACTTTATCTCAAAAAGGTAAAGGGTTGTGTCTTGAAAGCTTCTAATGATGGATGTAGCAGCTACAGAATGATCATTTCAGCAGGCAACTGGTTCCTAAAAGGCCAGGAAGTAGTAAAGTCCTGAAGCTGAAGGGGCCTCAGAGGCCAAGAACCTCTTAGGCGTTGACACGCAGCTGCATTCTCAGCTGAGCAACGTGCCCTCAAATAAAGTTCTCAGGAGGTCACAGTGGACCAGATCTGAGAAGCACCACATACAGCATCCCTAGTGAGCTTGCAGCAGAATTTTTAATGCAATGGTTGCCAGAAAATTTAGACTTTTTCCCAAATTGTGAAATGACTCCTGTCTTCTCCATTTCAGACTGGCTCAGCTTGAAACCACACAAGGGGGGGAGGGGTTCACAGATACTGAAAACGCACCAGCCCTGAAGAGGGCCCGAGGCCTGCCCCCTTGTCCATTTCCTGTCTCAGGAGATAGCATAGGGTGCTGACTGGTGTGATTTGGTGCTTGCTGCCCTTTCCTCCCACACCCTTCGTGTGGCCCCTGACTCCTCATTTGGAGGCCACCGAGTCCCCTGTCAGGCTGAGCCCCTGCAGAGGACACTTAACCCCGGTAAGCTGTGAGAAACTTGTGAGGATTCATGTAGGAAAGGAACCCGCACAATCAGAGGGAAATGCAGAGAAGCACCGAGCACCAGACAGCCTCCCCTTCTCCGGGGTCCTCCTCTGACAGCCAAGAAGCCATCAAGTTGCTCTTGTTCTGGTGCCATCCCTCATGTGGTCTTCTCCTCCACCCTCCCACTGCTCCCTCTGCCTCATCACTTCTCTCCCAGACCCTTCCAGAGTCTTCCAGCCTGTGGGTTGGCCACCATACTTACACAACTTCCACCCTCTCCCGCAGGCCACCAGCCTACACACACCCAGCCCACTGTGTCTGGCCCTTGCTTTGGGATCTCCAGAGCTTTCCACTTCCCACGGGAATCACAGATCTGATTCCCGGGATGCCTTACAAGACCCTCCTGGATCTCCCTGAGCTGCTTCTTTTCTGCAAAACTGTACCTCAGGTCCAGGAACACCAAACGTTCCACATGATTTATTTATTTATTTTTTGATAGGTAAATGATACCATTTCTTTATTTTTTTCTTTTTTAAAGTTATATGTCATTTGTTCTTTTAAAATCAATATTTTAGAAAATTTGGAAATTATTGAAAAACACAAAAGAAAAATAATAATTACGTATATATTGCTAGGCATCTTCACACATTTTTCCTTGAGTCCTCCAAACAACAGCATGAAGTACAATAGTTAATTTTGTCCCCACCACAGTTACACAGTTATTTCCCCTACAGGTCATAGAGGTTAAGTGAGTTGCCTATATCACACAGCTAATGAGAGAGAGTGCTGGCCACCAAGTCAGGTTTTTTGACCTTCAGACTCAAGCTTTCCCCACTAGAGTTATTGTCCCTAGAGGGATGGGAGAGGACAGAAGTGCACTCTATATACAT